CTGATGGAGCCAGAATGAAGCTGATGGAGCCAGCATTAAGCTGATGGAGCCATAATGAAGCTGAATGTCCCAGAATGAAGCTGAAGGACCCAGAATGAAGCGAATGCAGCTAGAATGAAGCTGATAAAGCTGAAGCTGATGGAACCAGAATGAAGCTGATGGAACCAGAATGAAGCTGAAGGACCCAGAATGAAGCTGATGGAGCCAGAATGAAACTGGTGGAGCCCGAATGAAGCTGATTGAGCCAGGATGAAGCTGATGGAACCAGAATGAAGCTGATGGAACCAGAATGAAGCTGAAGGAGCCAGAATGAAGCTGATGGGTACAGAATGAAGCTGGTGGAGCCAGAAGGAAGTTGATGGAGCCAGCATGAAGCTGATGGAGTCAGAATGAAGCTGATGGGTCCAGAAGGAAGTTGATGGAGCCAGAATGAAGCTGTTGGAGGCAGCATGAAGCTGATGGAGCCAGAATGAAGCTGATGGAGCCAGCATGAAGCTGATGGAGAAAGAATGAAGCTGATAGAGCCCAGAATGAAGCTGATGGAGCTAAAGCTGATGGATCCAGAATGAAGCTGAAGGAGCCAGAATGAAACTGATAAAGCTGTAGCTGAAGGCCTCAGAATGAAGCTTATTGAGCCAGCATGAAGCTGTTGGAGCTGAAGCTGATGGACCGAGAATCAAGCTAATGGACCCAGCATGAAGCTGATGGACCCAGAATGAAGCAAATGGAGCCGGCATGAAGCTGATGGAGCTGAAGCTGAAGGACCCAGAATGAAGCTGATGGAGCCAGAATGAAGCTGGTGGAGGCAGTATGAAGCTGATGGAGCCGGCATGAAGCTGATGGAGCTGAAGCTGAAGGACCCAGAATGAAGCTGATGGAGCCAGAATGAAGCTGATGGACCCAGAATGAAGCTGATGGGGCCGGCATGAAGCTGATGGAGCTGAGGCTGAAGGACCCAGAATGAAGCTGATGGAGCCAGAATGAAGCTGATGGACCCAGAATGAAGCTGATTGAGTCGGCATGAAGCTGATGGAGCTGAAGCTGAAGGAGCCAGAATGAAGCTGATGGAGCCAGAATGATGCTGGTGGAGCCAGTATGAAGCTGATGGAGCTGAAGCTGAAGGACCCAGAATGAAGCTGAAGGACAGAGAATGAAGCTGATGGAGCCAGAATGAAGCTGATGGACCGAGAATGAAGCTGATGGAGCCGGCATGAAGCTGATGGAGCTGAAGCTGAAGGACCCAGAATGAAGCTGATGGAGCCAGAATGAAGCTGGTGGAGCCAGTATGAAGCTGATGGAGCTGAAGCTGAAGGACCCAGAATGAAGCTGAAGGACAGAGAATGAAGCTGAAGGACCCAGAATGAAGCGAATGCAGCTAGAATGAAGCTGATAAAGCTGAAGCTGATGGAACCAGAATGAAGCTGATGGAACCAGAATGAAGCTGAAGGACCCAGAATGAAGCTGATGGAGCCAGAATGAAACTGGTGGAGCCCGAATGAAGCTGATTGAGCCAGGATGAAGCTGATGGAACCAGAATGAAGCTGATGGAACCAGAATGAAGCTGAAGGAGCCAGAATGAAGCTGATGGGTACAGAATGAAGCTGGTGGAGCCAGAAGGAAGTTGATGGAGCCAGCATGAAGCTGATGGAGTCAGAATGAAGCTGATGGGTCCAGAAGGAAGTTGATGGAGCCAGAATGAAGCTGTTGGAGGCAGCATGAAGCTGATGGAGCCAGAATGAAGCTGATGGAGCCAGCATGAAGCTGATGGAGAAAGAATGAAGCTGATAGAGCCCAGAATGAAGCTGATGGAGCTAAAGCTGATGGATCCAGAATGAAGCTGAAGGAGCCAGAATGAAACTGATAAAGCTGTAGCTGAAGGCCTCAGAATGAAGCTGATTGAGCCAGCATGAAGCTGATGGAGCTGAAGCTGATGGACCGAGAATCAAGCTAATGGACCCAGCATGAAGCTGATGGACCCAGAATGAAGCAAATGGAGCCGGCATGAAGCTGATGGAGCTGAAGCTGAAGGACCCAGAATGAAGCTGATGGAGCCAGAATGAAGCTGGTGGAGGCAGTATGAAGCTGATGGAGCCGGCATGAAGCTGATGGAGCTGAAGCTGAAGGACCCAGAATGAAGCTGATGGAGCCAGAATGAAGCTGATGGACCCAGAATGAAGCTGATGGAGCCGGCATGAAGCTGATGGAGCTGAGGCTGAAGGACCCAGAATGAAGCTGATGGAGCCAGAATGAAGCTGATGGACCCAGAATGAAGCTGATTGATCCGGCATGAAGCTGATGGAGCTGAAGCTGAAGGACCCAGAATGAAGCTGATGGAGCCAGAATGATGCTGGTGTAGCCAGTATGAAGCTGATGGAGCTGAAGCTGAAGGACCCAGAATGAAGCTGAAGGACAGAGAATGAAGCTGATGGAGCCAGAATGAAGCTGATGGACCGAGAATGAAGCTGATGGAGCCGGCATGAAGCTGATGGAGCTGAAGCTGAAGGACCCAGAATGAAGCTGATGGAGCCAGAATGAAGCTGTGGAGCCAGTATGAAGCTGATGGAGCTGAAGCTGAAGGACCCAGAATGAAGCTGAAGGACAGAGAATGAAGCTGAAGGACCCAGAACGAAGCTGATGGACCCAGAATGAAGCTGATGGACCCGGCATGAAGCTGATGGAGCTGAAGCTGAAGGACCCAGAATGAAGCTGATGGAGCCAGAATGAAGCTGATGGACCCAGAATGAAGCTGATTGAGCCGGCATGAAGCTGATGGAGCTGAAGCTGAAGGACCCAGAATGAAGCTGATGGAGCAAGAATGAAGCTGGTGGAGCCAGTATGAAGCTGATGGCGCTGAAGCTGAAAGACCCAGAATGAAGCTGAAGGACAGAGAATGAAGCTGATGGAGCCAGAATGAAGCTGATGGACACAGAATGAAGCTTATTGAGCCAACATGAAGCTGATAGAACGAGAATGAAGCTGATGGAGCCATAATGAAGCTGATTGAGCCAGAATGAAGCTGATGGACCTAAAATGAAGCTGATGGAGCCATAATGAAGCTGATGGAGCCATAATGAAGCTGGTGGAGCCAGAATGAAGCTGATGGAGCCATAATGAAGCTGATGGAGCCATAATGAAGCTGGTGGAGCCAGAATGAAGCTGATGGAGCCATAATGAAGCTGATGGAGCCATAATGAAGCTGATGAAGCCATAATAAAGCTGATAGAGCCAGAATGAAGCTGATGGAGCCAGAATGAAGCTGATGGAACCAGAATGAAGCTGATGGAGCCATAATGAATCTGATGGAGCCATAATGAAGCTGATGGAGCCAGAATGAAGCTGATGGAACCATAATGAAGCTGATGGAGCCATAATGAAGCTGATGGAGCCAGAATGAAGCTGATGGAACCAGAATGAAGCCGATGGAGCCATAATGAATCTGATGGAGCCATAATGAAGCTGATGGAGCCAGAATGAAGCTGATGGAGCCAGAATGAAGCTGATGGAGCCATAATGAAACTGATGGAGCCAGAATGAAGCTGATGGACCTAAAATGAAGCTGGTGGAGCCGGCATGAAGCTGATGGAGCTGAAGCTGAAGGACCCAGAATGAAGCTGATGGAGCCATAATGAAGCTGGTGGAGCCAGTATGAAGCTGATGGCGCTGAAGCTGAAAGACCCAGAATGAAGCTGAAGGACAAAGAATGAAGCTGATGAAGCCAGCATGAAGCTGATGGAGCCAGAATGAAGCTGATGGAACCATAATGAAGCTGATGGAGCCATAGTGAAGCTGATGGAGCCATAATGAATCTGATGGAGCCATAATGAAGCTGATGGAGCCAGAATGAAGCTGATGGAACCATAATGAAGCTGATGGAGCCAGAATGAAGCTGATGGAGCCATAATGAAGCTGATGGAGCCAGAATGAAGCTGATGGAACCACAATGAAGCTGATAGAGCCATAATGAAGCTGATGGAGCCATAATGAAGCTGATGGAGCCAGAATGAAGCTGATGGAGCCAAAATGAAGCTGATGGAGCCATAATGAAACTGATGGAGCCAGAATGAAGCTGATGGACCTAAAATGAAGCTGATGGAGCCAGCATGAAGCTGATGGAGCCAGAATGAAGCTGATGGACCAAAAATGAAGCTGATGGAGCCAGCATGAAGCTGATGGAGCCATAATGAAACTGATGGAGCCAGAATGAAGCTGATGGAGCCAAAATGAAGCTGATGGAGCCATAATGAAACTGATGGAGCCAGAATGAAGCTGATGGACCTAAAATGAAGCTGATGGAGCCAGCATGAAGCTGATGGAGCCAGAATGAAGCTGATGGACCAAAAATGAAGCTGATGGAGCCAGCATGAAGCTGATGGAGCCATAATGAAACTGATGGAGCCAGAATGAAGCTGATGGAGCCAAAATGAAGCTGATGGAGCCATAATGAAACTGATGGAGCCAGAATGAAGCTGATGGACCTAAATTGAAGCTGATGGAGCCAGCATGAAGCTGATGGAGCCATAATGAGGCTGGTGGAGCCAGAATGAAGCTGATGGGGTCAGAATGAAGCTGATGGACCAAAAATGAAGCTGATGCAGCCAGAATTAAGCTGATGGAGCCATTATGAAACTGATGGAGCCAGAATGAAGCTGATGGAACCAGAACTAAGCTGAAGGACCCAGGATGAAGCTGATGGACCAAAAATTAAGCTGATGGAGCCAGAATGAAGCTGATGGACCAAAAATTAAGCTGATGGAGCCAGAATGAACTCTGGTTCCTTACAGTCTAAAATTGACCCAATCGAGTTTAAATCTGTCGGAACTCTTTCCTCTTTTCCTCCCGCAGAGATCCGCAGCCTTAAGGACTTTACTCTGCTTCCTCCAGAGGTCCATTAATGCGGAGGTACCGCCCGTTCATCACCGTGTTCCGGAAGAAAAGTTAAGCTTTGCGTCCTGCTGGTTGATCAACCCCAGAACCAGAACCCGGCCAAGGCGCAGACTTACCACTTGAACGCCGGACGATGTTCTCCAGAAAAGTGTTCTGCGGCGCCACCAGTCCCCTCTTTCCGCCGGGCATCCTGTTGCGGAGGCGGGGTGTGTGCTGCTCGGTTCTGACGCTGGCTCTGGTTCGGACCGATGGAGAGGCGCATTGTAACCGCGCGCTCGGACGAGCTGCTGGAGGCGCACTGAGCTGGAGCCGCTGACTGTAGTGAGAGGAAGGACGCATGCGTCATGGGCTGGCAGCTCCGACCCAAACAGGGAACCATGTGATAGATCAGCAGTAGAAAAGATGGACTCAGGCTAACGCCTCAGAGAAGTTCTAGAAGCGGATTATAACCAAGCACTGATCATATCTGCCTGAACTGATGGATATTAATGAAGAACCTTGTTTGGCCATGAAACTATGAAACTCTACCTGCAGCTCATTAGAATCCGAACCCTTCAGCTTTGTCACGTTTTCATTCCTTAAAACTTGTTGAGATGATTCCTAAAAATAATGCACAGTCATATAAAACCACAAAAAAAAAGCAACCGTTTTTGGCATTTACTTAATCATATTTAGATACTTTAACACAATTGTTTCATCTTAGCAGGCTAAGACATAAAACAATTGTGTTAAATTAACTAAATATGATAAGTAAATGGAAAGCGGTTGCCTTTCCTCAGAAAGCCTGTATGTTGAATATATGAAGGGTCTAACTGAGCCAAAGGGGCCCTGCAGCAAAGGAAGCTCTGTCTGTCCCTCTGGCATCAGGAGAAACTTGGATCACTGTGGACCTGCTGCACTTGCACTAGTGTGGCCATTCAGCATGAGAGGTTTAGGATTATTTGCTTCTGTCTCACTCTAACATTTTATTCAACAAAAAAATTGGAACTGGGTTCTGGTTCAACTCTACCTGCAAATTATTTTTTCTTCTTTTAAAACCAGATTAACTGTAATCTGGTTCAGCCACATAAAGTATGATGAGAAAGCTGCATAAATAAGAACACATCAATGAAGGATGGATGGATGGATGGATGGATGGATGGATGGATGGATGGATGGATGGATGGATGGATGGATGGATGGATGGATGGATGGATGATGGTTGGATGGATGATGGTTGGATGGATGATGGTTGGATGGATGGATGATGGATGGATGGATGGATGGATGGATGGATGGATGGATGGATGGATGGATGGATGGATGGATGATGGTTGGATGGATGATGGATGGATGGATGGATGATGGATGGATGGATGGATGGATGGATGGATGGATGGATGGATGGATGGATGGATGGATGGATGGATGAAGGATGGATGGATGGATGGATGGATGGATGGATGGATGGATGGATGGATGGATGATGGTTGGATGGATGATGGATGGATGGATGGATGATGGATGGATGGATGGATGGATGGATGGATGGATGGATGGATGGATGGATGGATGGATGGATGGATGGATGAAGGATGGATGGATGGATGGATGGGTGGACGGATGAAGGATGGATGATGGATGGATGATCGATGGATGGACGGATGGATGGATGGGTGGACAGATGATGGTTGGATGGATGATGGATGGATAGATGGATGGATGATGGTTGGATGGATGAAGGATGGATGCATGGATGGATGGATGGATGGATGGATGAAGGATGGATGGATGGATGATGGATGGATGAAGGATGGATGGCTGGATGGATGGATGATGGATGGATGTATGGGTGGACGGATGGATGGATGGATGAAGGATGGATGATGATGGATGGATGATGGTTGGATGGATGAAGGATGGATGGATGGATGGATGGATGATGGATGGATGGATGGATGGATGGATGGATGATGGTTGGATGGATGGATGGATGGATGGATGGATGGATGGATGGATGGATGATGGTTGGATGGATGGATGGATGGATGATGGATGGATGGATGGATGGATGGATGGATGGATGGATGGATGGATGGATGGATGATGGATGGATAGATGGATGGATGGATGGATGATGGTTGGATGGATGAAGGATGGATGCATGGACGGATGGATGGGTGGACAGATGATGGATGGATGGATGGATGGATGGATGGATGGATAGATGATGGATGGATGGATGATGGTTGGATGGATGGATGATGGATGGATGGATAGATAGATGATGGATGGATGGATGATGGTTGGATGGATGAAGGATGGATGGATGATGGATGGATTCAATTCAGTTTATTTATATAGCGCCAAATTCACAACACATGTCATCTCAAGGCACTTTACAGTTCAACCAGATCATACAGTCAAATTGATACAAAGTTTTCTATCTAAGGAAAACCAGTTGATTGCATTGACTCATTGACTCAAATACAATCCCTCACACTAAGCATGCTTGTAGCGACAGTGGAGAGGAAAAACTCCCTTTTAACAGGAAGAAACCTCCAGCAGAACCAGGCTCAGTGTGAGCGGCCATCTGCCAAGGCCGACTGGGGTTCAAGGAGACAGAAGCAGAGATACAAGCAGCTGTAAAAGGCGGCCCCGTCCAGGAAACACACAGCCAGGCAGACGAGCTCCAAGGCAGCTCCCATGCCAGAGGATGAAGAGAGCACATCCACCCAGCCACGGCCAGAGAAACAGGACCACACCTGAAGACAGGCCGATCTCCAACATCTACAAACAAGGGTGTTGATGGAAGCAGCACAGCTGATGTTTCTTTCCTGGATGACGTCACAGCCAAACAGGAACAGACGAGGCAAAGCTACTCTGAGGAAAAGCAGAGAGAGCAGAAGGTTAGAGATTGAACTAACAGATTCTGCAGAATAGGAGAACAGAGAGAGAATGAAGCAGAATGATGAAATGGGGGTCCCTATGTCCTCCAAAAGTCTAAGCCTATAGCAGCATAAATATAGAGAGAGAGCTCAGGATAACCTGAGCCACTCTAACTATAAGCTTTATCAAAAAGGAAAGTTTTAAGCCTAGTCTTAAAAGTAGACAGAGTGTCTGCCTCACGGACTAAAACTGGTAGTTGGTTCCACAGGAGAGGAGCCTGATAACTAAAAGATCTGCCTCCCATTCTACTTTTAGAAATTCTAGGAACCACTAGTAAACCTGCAGATTGAGAGCGAAGTGCTCTGTTAGGAACATAAGGAACAATCAGATCTCTGATATCAGATGGAGCTTGGCCATTTAAGGCTTTATATGTGAGAAGGAGGATTTTAAATTCTATTCTGGATTTAACAGGAAGCCAATGAAGAGAAGCCAGGATAGGAGAGATATGATCTCTCTTTTTAATTTTCATCAGAACTCTGGCTGCAGCATTTTGGATCAGCTGAAGGCTTTTAACTACAGTTTGTGGACTTCCTGATAGTAAAGAATTACAATAGTCCAGCCTTGAAGTAACAAATGCATGGACTAGTTTCTCAGCATCACCCCTGGACAGGAGATTTTTTACTTTATTATCTGAAATCAGTTTAATCCCATCCAAATGAAGTGACTGGCTAATCAGCTTCTTTTTCAGAGACTCTGGTCCAAAGACTATAACTTCTGTTTTGTCTGCATTCAGAAGCAGAAAGTTAAGAGTCATCCAGGTTTTTATGTCTTCAAGACATGTTTGTAATCTATGTAATGGGTTAGCTTCATCTGGATTTATAGACAGATATAGCTGGGTATCATCAGCATAACAGTGGAAATTGGAAATGGATGATGGTTGGATGGATGGATGGATGGATGGATGGATGGATGGATGGATGGATGGATGGATGGATGGATGGATGGATGGATGGATGGATGGATGGATGATGGTTGGATGGATGAAGGATGGATGGATGGATGGATGGATGGATGGATGGATGGATGGATGGATGGATGGATGGATGATGGTTGGATGGATGGATGGATGGATGGATGGATGGATGGATGGATGGATGGATGGATGGATGGATGGATGGATGGATGGATGGATGGATGATGGATGGATAGATGGATGGATGGATGGATGATGGTTGGATGGATGAAGGATGGATGCATGGATGGATGGATGGATGGATGGATGGATGTTGTTTCCCATTTATGGTTCAGATGTTTTATAACAATAAACCATTTTGCAGGATAATTCTATCTCAGCTTTTTGTTTGACTGTAAAATGTTTACTGGGAATTTCTTCTGTCATCCGACTTCTTCTATATTCAACTCTTATTCCCAACATAATCCGCTGTCAGACACCTGCAGACTACACGGTTCAGCACATCTCAGATTAGAATAATTTTCTGTAAAGTCACTCAGCAGCACAGCCATGCAACCACTGCAGATTGATGCAGATATTTCTCGACTGGGAGTTGGGGAGTGAAGACCAATCACACAGGCAGAAAATGTAACATAACAAACCTGTATCCTCAGAGTGCTGCAGGGAAAACTGCCTCCCACTTTGCAGGATTCCCTCAGGAATGCTCATTACCTTTTTTAAAGGGGGAGTAGGGCCTCTGGGAGAAGAACGTAACAACAGAGGCTGCATCCATGACTCAATCCTAAGGATCTGGAGAAGTTATCAGAACATTGCAAAACAAAGTTATTTGCACACGGATCGTCTACACTAAGGCAATTTTCAAAGCAGGTAACTGGATGTCATGGTTTTTGCCAGGTGTTAGGGTTACGGTCATAGAGAAACTTTATAATGTTTATCGACAAAATAATGAATCCTTATGGGTTCATGTGCAGGTCACAGGTACAAGGTGATTGACTGAACAGGTTTAATGCAGGACACTGTTGTGCCAGCTTACCAGAAAATTATGAATATATTAGATAACTAGAACTGGGAGTTATAGTATAGGTAATTCAAATCAAGGGTAAAGCTAGTTATTTATTATCAGTTGAAAGGTTATTAAATGTCATTTGTTTACTGACCAGGGTGTTAGCCCCTTTCCTATGTTCCATATATGTATATGTATATATTTGATTACAGGAATAGTACAGGGGTTGACGTTACAGATTTTTACCAAGTGACTTTCACATTTCATTTGCCCAGAAACAATTTTTACTTGCCCAGTATAATGTTTGATAAATATAGTTCCTAATATTCATTTTTGTATATATATCAATGAAACATGTTTTTTTTTTTTATGTTTTTTGTAATTCAGTATTTTTTAAGTTTCCAGGTTCCTGGTGTGTATATGCATGCGTCAGATAATGAACTCAAGCCTACATTAC